TTGCCAAACATTGCAATAAAATTTAATGATTGACTGTTTTGCATGTGGACATCCTCCTGATTTTGACACATGGTTTGATTGAAAGCCAGTTAAATCGTCTAATCCTCACCATTGTTATTTCAAGCAAAGGTCCAGAAATTCGGCCATGACACCACTGGGATTTACTTATCACATATCGTCTTTGACTCTCGCAAATTAGATCCAGTTGCTATAAGCAAATTGTGGTTTATAATACTGTAATTGTAGTTGTGGCATTAGTTTGCCACTGGGAAGAAAAGTTGAGAATCACTCAACATCATTATCAATGCAAAAAATTATTGAACATAACAATAATAAATAATTGTACATCTGATATGATAATCCTTGCATTTGATATAGTGCCTATTCATGTCTTTAAGATGTCTCAAAGCGCTTCAAAGAATATATAATAATCCTTGCATTTGATATAGTGCCTTATCACATTGTCGAGACATCTCAAAGCGCTTCACAAATTTTATTACAAAGTGCAGTGACTGTATTTTGTACTGTAACGTGAATTGACAGTATGTTTTGTGAGTGAAACACAGCAGCCAATTACACACAGCAGTGTCCCACAGAGAGTCATGGATTGAGTGACCAAATTATCATTATTAATTTTTTTTAAAAGAGATTACCCCCAGAAAAGCGATCCACCAATCGACTAACAAATAACGTCTTTCACAGCAGGAGGACACCTCAAAACATTTCACAGGATATACCGAAAAGTTTTATAATACAATACAAAATTACATTTGTAAAGTGCCTTTCACGTCAGGAGGATGTCCCAAGGCATTTAACAGTCAGGGATTAGGGATTAGGACCTGAGCGGGATGTTGGGATCAGGGAGGATGGAGGGCAAAGAGGGTGGCCGAAGGCACGGTCGAAGAGGAGGGTGTTGAGGCTCCCTTGAAGGAGGCAAGGGAGGGAGCAAGATGAAGGGAATGTAGGATGCAGTTCCAGAGGGAGGGGACAGAGAAGCTGAAGACCCGACTGCCATTGGTGTGCATTGTTTAGGTTAACATGGTTTTGATGCATTACTATAGGCACTTTCTTTGCAAGTAGTTTTTATATTAAGTATCAATTTCATTTTATGGTTTGGCAGGTTACCAACCTTTTCATTTTCAAGTAACTCATTAGATTGTAAAACTCATTTAACTCTGTGAAAGCTTTAGCTTGTAAAAAAGTGAAACAAATGTGTTCACAGCCTTCAGAACATGTTGTCATCTGATTCAATCATGCAATATTTTTAACAACAGTAAAAAATCAAAAAGACTGATTTTAATGTAGACCAGCATTATGGAAAAAAAGTAGACATGATAAAAAGAAAGCTTGAACAGTGATTTAGTCATAATAAAAAGCTAACTTTATTTGAAAAGTATAAGCCATTCTCAAAAAATATTTTACATCCTTGCAGGTCTGCATCGTCCGTTCTGTTCAAAGGCAAAATGATATGTTTATGAATAGGTTGTGTCTGTATTATTTATCAATCAGTCATTGACCATTAGTTTTCTCCTGATTTACTTTTATTCCATATTAGACCACCATACAGTGGGGAGAGGTGCACTATCAACCAAACAACCTTTTGTACCTATGTTATTTGTTGACTAGAGCTTTAGATTCAGAACTAAAGTTCTGTAGAAGTGCAATACACTCATCTGAACATCAAGATGCGATTGCAGAATTGAAATGTCCCCTATTGTATCTGTTATTTGCAGAATAGGCAGCGTTGAGTTGTGGATAATCAAGCGTACCCTGCGTGAGGGGCTCTATATAAATGCAAGTTGTTGTTGTTGAAGGCAGTGGCCTCTGTGCAGCTGATTTGATGATACAATACAATACAAATTACATTTGTACAGTGCCTTTCACATCGGGAGGACGTCCCAAGGCGCTGGACAGGCAGGGATTTGGATGCGAGCTGGGGATCGGTATCGGGGAGGGTGGAGGACAGAAAGGGTAGGAAGGTGGCTGAAGGCATGGTCAAATGCACTTCAAGGAGACAAGGGAGGGAGTGAAGCGAACGGAATGTGGAATGGAGTTCCATAGGATTTAATTGCAGTAAGCAGGAAGGAAGTCTAGAGGGGCATTTTCTTTCCAAAATACTGTTCCTAATTATATTTATAAACATCTGTGAAATATTATTGTGTCTATTGTAGCCTCCACACCTACCCCCTTAGCTGATAGGAGACTCTAGTGTTGTGTTATGGCGATGTATCACAGAGTGGCTCCATTTAGATAGTTGGAGGGTACTTTGGAATGGCCCAGGAAATGGATCCTGCACACATTCTCACACATGCATGGATTACACTTCTGTGTTTTGGGGGGAAATGAGAATATTTAACAATTATGGCTCAGAAAATGCACAGTCAATCCATTTTACAGTATGTCCTGTGAAACACGTTGAGATGTCTTGATGACATGATAAGGTACTATATCAAAGTAAGGATTATAATTATTATACAACCTTGCTGTATTTCAATATTATTGGGATCCAAGTGCATTCTTTCCCTGCAGTATACTTACATTAAATATACAGTCAATTCACTTTGGAGTCTATTCTGTGAAGCGCTTTGAGACGTCTAGAAGATGTGAAAAGCGCTAATATCAAATGCAAGGATTATTATTATTATTATCACATGAAGCAACAAATTCGATTGATATATTCTTAGCCGCGTCACTTCCAATGGCGGCAATGATGGTCATATATTTAAATTTACTCAAGTGGCAAGCTGTACATGTATACAACACTGAAATCAGAGGTTAGCGTTTTAATGTCAGGATAAAGCTGAGCAGTTGTTTCTTCAGTGATACAAAGATTCATTCAAAGTCCATTCAAAGATCCTGGGTGAGTCAGTGTGTTTGTCACCCATTGTGATTATACTGTTGTGGGGCAATTCACACTAATGCTGACATCCCTACCTCCAGATTCTGTCAGGAAAATGATTTGTGCTGTCTGACCCACCTATTTAAACTGCACACTTTGCAAAATATTGCTGCTTAGTTCAACGTGTTTTTGTGCTAAATAGGCTGTATAAACACAGTCTAAACCATTTCTTGAAAGCAATTTGTGGCGTGGGCAGCTAGTTTTTATCTGTTAATAAGTAAGGGTAGTTTCAATGCATCACTATGTTATGCATTTTGTTCCTAGAAGTTCTTACAGGCAGCATTACTGTATGTAGGTATCCTGCTTCCAAGAAAGCACAACTCAGCAATCACCTCCTAAAGGTTTTGGCAGACAAGAGCTCCCAAATTGGAAAGGTGTACAAAAAAAAATTAATGATGCAGTAAACCTAAATGCTATGCAAATATCGTAGACTAATAGTGAAAGATTAGCACCTGTGGTCAGTCCACAATTCAACTGCATGGCTGAGCATGCCTCCAATTGTAGCGCCACTCTTTCATCTGTCACTAGCATCCTGAAGAGCTTCGTCATTTCATTTACTTTCTCTGATTAATAATAATGAACAAAAGTTATTCTCTCCTGCCTGCACCTCTAACTTCATCCAAATAAGTCTATACAGTGAACCTCACATAATTCATATCAGTTGGGACCATACATTTAATATGATTTATGCAAAGTGTGAGTTATGTGAAACTTGCAAAAGTCATATCCTATAACAATTTGCCCACAAAATACACAGCCAATAATACTCTGTGAAGCAATATACTCTGTGGAGAGCTTTGAGACATCTTGACAATGTGATAAGGCTCCATATCAAATGCAGGATTTTTATTATTAAAAACAAACACGCAAGTACAGTACTGTAGCTCCAATGCTCGGATTGGGACTGATGATAGTTGATGTCTGAATCTCAGCAGTCTTAAATTCAGTCCAAGCTTCTAGCACAGAATCCTTGGATCACAATAAAACGTGTGGGAAGAGGAGCAGGAACCTAATAAGTAGGGCGCCACCTTGACATTTCACTATCGAGCCACTCAGCCCAGTTTAGGTGTGCAACTTTTATTGCAACTTTTCAATAAAATGCAACAACCTCAAGGGTTCAACTTAATGCAAAATAATCCTTGCATTTGATATAGCGCCTTATCACATCTTCGAGACGTCTCAAAGTGCTTCAAAGAATACACTGTAAAGTGAATTGATTTTGTTGGCGAGACAAAAAGGTCCTGAAATGCACTCAGATATTTTTCAGTCTCTTCGTGCTCATTGGTACTGCACACACACAAAAGCTGGAAAAGTAGCATCTGCACAGCAAGTGCTGGGTCTCAGTTTAACTGAAACTGTGGGTGATTTGCTTCCCCTCCTGCCTTACCAGAGTCCACTGAGAAGCAGCCAGTTGCTGCTCTGACTTATTTGCATGCTGCGGTTTTCTGAAGATTGCACTTTCCTCCTTATTGTGGAGAGCCACACTTTTTAGGGTATTTAGGGAGGGTGTCTATGTGGTAAACACAGGAAGAGGGTTGCCAGTAATTAAAGTATGTTTGTAGCCCGAAGTCCACCGCCCCAATACTTGCCCAATATTATGGGTCGCTTCCTACTGGTAGCAATTTAGGTTCGGGCTTTTGAAACTGTGGGAAAAAAAATCTTCAAATAAACAACAACAACTTGCACTTAATATAGCACCCTCCACGCCGGGCAGTGTCTCAGAGCGCTTAACAATGGTGGAGTCCAAGGAAGGTGACAGTAAAAAAAAAGTTTAGCAGGTCTAAACAAAATAAAATGTTTTTTTGAATTCTTTTTTGCCCCAAACTCGGCCCCGAATTATGCGTCGCCCCCCTTTGGGTAGCAGAGTGGCCAATTTACGATCAGTGCTTTTGAAACTGTGTAAGAAAGTCTTTAAAAGGGGGGGATGGGGTGGGGGATTTATTTAATTTATTTAATTTTAAGTTAAATTTTTAATAAATGAGGCACCTGCCACAGGCATCTCTCCCACCCCCCCCCAACACACACGGTGCAACTGAGTGACGCCCAATTGGGAGTGAACCCGTGCCACTTGGCCACCCTGTGCAGGAGTGGTGGTGGTGTACAAGGTGCAGTGTGTTGTACTGGTCCCGGGTTCCCTGCACTCACTGGTCTGTCAATCAGAGAGGAGACGATCAGTGAGTGCTCACAGGGGGAGGATTGAGCTGCAGCGGCGGCCACACACACACACACACACACAGAGGCTCCAACTCAAACCCCAAACCCCAACTCCATGGCTGACAACACTTTGATCGAGGACAGCGATCCTTACGCGGAGAAGGAAGAGCTGCAATGGGGGTACGAAGAAGGTGAGTTTGTTTCTCTGTGCAAAAAAGAATGCTCTTTTACTCTCTTCTTTTGCTCTTTTGCTCTCTCTCTTGCTCTTTTGCTCTCTCTCTTGCTCTTTTGCTCTCTCTCTTGCTCTTTTGCTCTCTCTTTTGCTCTTTTGCTCTCTCTTTTGCTCTTTTGCTCTCTCTTTTGCTCTTTTGCTCTCTCTTTTGCTCTTTTGCTCTCTCTTTTGCTCTCTCTCTTGCTCTTTTACTCTCTTCTTTTGCTCTTTTGCTCTCTCTTTTGCTCTTTTACTCTCTCTTTTGCTCTTTTGCTCTCTCTCTTTTTTGCTCTCTCTCTTGCTCTTTTGCTCTCTTCTTTTGCTCTTTTGCTCTCTCTTTTGCTCTTTTGCTCTCTCTTTTGCTCTTTTGCTCTCTCTTTTGCTCTCTCTCTTGCTCTTTTACTCTCTTCTTTTGCTCTTTTGCTCTTTCTTTTGCTCTTTTACTCTCTCTTTTGCTCCCTCTTTTGCTCTCTCTTTTGCTCCCTCTTTTGCTCTTTTACTCTCTCTTTTGCTCTTTTACTCTCTCTTTTGCTCTTTTACTCTCTTCTTTCGCATTAAAATGCTAATTCGCCCGAAAAAAAACTGCGTTAGATGGAGAAGCCAAGTTTGGGGGGTGCGCAGTGAGAAAGAACTATTTGTCACATCGGCTCAGAAAGTGTCTTTGGATGCACATAGAATATCAAAGTACCATAAAGATTTTATATATATATATATGTGTTGTGTGTGATTAAAATAGCTATAAGGAATGCACACCACAGCAGCCCCAAATTGTCACAGTAAATCAAAGCTGCTTCGCTCAAACTGTCCAGAAAACCAGTGGTTTGAAAGTTGATGTGTTGGTGTGTTTGGTGAGTGCTAATGCAGTACCTGATCAGCACAGAGCAGTGCCGGGGCCGTCCCGGTGTAACTCACTCCTCTGTTACGCTCTGTCCCTGTCTGTGGTGTTCAGGAGTGGAATGGGGGCTCCTGTTCCCTGAGGCTAACGGCGAGTACCAGTCTCCTATAAACCTCAACTCCAGAGAGGCAAAGTACGACTCTTCACTGCTGGAGATACGTTTGTCACCAAACTATGTGGTTTGTCGGGATTCCGAAGTAATAAACGACGGCCACACTATTCAGCTGCTGCTCAAGTCCAAATCAGGTATGCAGCCCACATGGAATAGCTTTGATCTTTCCCAGGGGGAATGTGGAGACAAATTCGTTTGTTTTTAGTGAGTTAACTATCTCCCCATCACATTTCTAATTGTTTTTTCCCCCAACGCTGATTGCCTAAATACTTGCTTGTGATGGTTTCCATTATAAGTAAATATCTTCTCTCCAAAGCCAAGAATTGTTATGAGTGTTGTAATTTTATACATCCTGGTTTTTTTTTTCTTACGTCCTCTCATCCTTTTTCCTCCTTGTGGCTACTATTCTGAGTGCTCGCTGCCGTCTAGGAAGTGATCGTTCTAAGGAATGACATTGACAGTGATTTTCCACAGGCTGTGGGAAGGGAATCATAGCCGAGCGTAATACTGGGGCCACTGTAGAGTGATCAGGAAACTTGAGTGACTTTGTTCCCCTTCTAACTTGAGGAATCATGGACAACTGTAATACCTCAACCCAAATCGCCTGAGATTCGCAAATTCTTAGGCGTTGAATCTAGGACACTTGTAGTCTGTAACGCTCAGCTCCTCACTGGATAAAGTTGCTCAACCACCAAGGGACTTATAATTGCAATTGAGTGAAGATGTTCTGCTTTTGAACCTGACTGTCTCCAGGAGAGTGTTAATCTCTCATAGTTGCAGACTATGTATGGAATTGTCCAGTTTTTTGACCCTGTAAAGTAAAGACTCTGACCCACATCTAAAATGTTTTTCAGTCTTTGAGTGGACGATGTAATAAATCAAATTCTACTTTATAGAAGGTGCCAATGGTTGAGCTGTACTAGTGACTTGAGGTGAAGGTTACATATTCACCTTCTAGTCCTCCATATTTCCTTTGGCTACATTCTTCAGGGGAAAAAAAATCTCATTGGTTTAACTTGACAAGAGTACCAAAACAAGGGTATCAATCTAACAAGCAACAAATGTTATTGCTCATTAGATTGGAAAACCAGCACCCCTTGTGTAGATGGATTAGGACCAAACAGTAAAGATTTCAATCAGCAGTTTGGTATTACAGCTATTATTGAAAATGGGATGTCAGAGATTTAAAGGGTCATTCTTAGCTATTTAGTGTTGAGTCCTTTGTAGACCCATTTCTTGGGTTCCTGATGACAGCTGCAGCAATTCTTTCTTTTCCATGAGATGGGCATCTCAATGGTGTTGCTTCACCTGAGCATAGAGTACTGTAAATACTATTACAGTACTTATTATACAATTGGGGGAAGCCAAAGAAAAAGATTGCAGCTCAGAACAATTAGGTAGTTGATTTTCAAGCAAATGATCAAAAGATCCTTGGGCTCCTTATCACTCAGTAATAATAATAATCCTTCTATTTGATATAGCACCTTATCTCCTTATTGAGGTGTCGCGAAGTGCTTCACAGGATATATTAATACTAAATAATCCTTAATAATCCTTGCATTTGATATAGAGCTTTTCACGTCGGGAGGACGTCCCAAAGCGCTTCACAGAACATACTGTAAAGTGAATTGGGGCGAACACGGCAGCCAATTGCGCACAGCAATGTCCCACAAACAGTCGTAGATTGAAAATGACCAATTTATTATTGTTTTTGGTTTTGGAGGGATTATTATTAGACGTGTGGAGTAAGGAAGCTTGCCCAAGGTTTCGCCCTGCCTGGAATTGAACTCAGGTCTCTCGCTTGCAAAGCGAGTGCTCTAACCACTGAGCTACAGGACTCCACAATATTGTAAATGGATTGACTGTATAATTTATGGGCAAAATGTGGCAGCCAATTGCACACAGTAGGCCAATTGCACACAGCAGGAACTCAAATTTATCTGGATCAATTTGTATCATTCTCAGTTTACCTGCTAAATGAAGCATCCCGAAACAACAAGCATCTGAGATTGCCTTGGTTACGTCCCATAAATAATGATGATAGTTCTTGCATTTGATATAGCAATTATTAGACCAAAGTGCATCACAAGGAACCACTGTCAAATGTACTGATTGTGTATTTGTAACAATAATTAATAACAATAACAGTTTGGCACAGAGCCTTTCACATTTGGAGAATGTCCCAAAGTGCTTCACAGGAGATAGCGTGGTAACTGTTCTGTGGGTAAACAGAAACAAGAATACACAGACCTGAGACAGAAGATACCTGGATTCCGTACCATTCTGTCCCACTCTCCTAGGCTAAATCAGAAGAGACTTGGCTGCTAGATAGAAAAATGTTGCTTGGGGTGTTCAAATGAAACAAAAAAATCAATTTCCTGTTCCTGGTTGAGTTATTCAACAGTGTTAGTTAATTTCACATGGTTTGTTAAAGGAAATAACATATCTATTCTAGTACGGTGTGGAAAACCCTCTTAGAATTTTTTTTCCTGGCCTTTTGAAACTTAAACTCAAATTTCAATTAGATACTTGGTGAGTCCTTTAATATAGATTTAAAATCCTATTGTGATTTATTAGCTACTCTAATTTTAGTCAGATTTTGCTTCATTGGAACTTAATTAATGTACTATTTTTAACTTTCCTATTTAATATAGGTGAGTGTAACGGCTTCCATTTCCTTTTATTTCTGAGAACCAGAACAGCTATCTTTCTAGGACATAATTTGACCTGGAAAAAGGCACAAACTTTAGAAAGTTTGTTCACTTGCTCGCATTACTTTTGCTTTTTGATTCCGTTGATTGGAGTTGTAGTTTACAAATTCCTGGGTTCCCTGAGACCAGCTACCTTGTAAAGGAAATAATTCACGCTGCAAGAGAATCCCATTATGGCGTCTTCCCCATTAATAGCGCTGCCTATCTTTAAGTGTGGGTCTGCTATGAACACAATATTAACTAGAAATGCAATACATCTGGCTTCTGGTGCTGACTAGTCAGCATCCTGCACTGGAACATTATTATTCTTTCTCAGCCATCGGAATGCCGCTGACGCCACTTTTGTGCGAAGTGCAACTAACGTCACTTCCTGCATGATGTGCCTATATGCTATACACAGGAAACGTTGGTGATGTAACTTCCTTTGTAAAATGACAGTAGCAGCGCATTCTGTGTACCATACGTGCGCAGAACGAGCAAGTGATGTCAGAGAGCGAGCAATGACCAGAAAATTATGTCAATGGTTATTTGATGCCTCCAAAATCTGCCTCTCCATTCTCATAACCTCATACCAGCCTGTCTGGTCCCTCCGCTTGGTAGACACCGGCCTACTTCAGATCCCCCGCACTTCCCGCCCCACCATTCAGCATCTCTGCCCCCACACTCAACTCTATCCTGCAATCCCTCCGCCTCACCCCCTCGCTTGCTTCCTTTAAGTCCCTTCTGAAGACCTTCCTCTTTGACTGTGCCTTCGGCCAGCCTCCCACCCCCATTCCCCCCTACCCTCCTCCCCTTCTGACCCCAGCTCGGGTCCAAAAACCCTGATTGTAATAATTATATTATTATTATTATTATTGTCCAGGCCCTGGGATGCCTTTCCAACGTGAAGGGCTCTATGCAAGTGTAAATTGTTGTTTACTTTTAGCTTTTTACTTGCACTCAGATTCTGAGCATTTGGTTCCAGAATATCACTTCATAAAACTTCTCCTATAGTTTTGCATATCCTTATATTTTTCTTAAATTTTTAAATTTTAAAATTGTGACAGCTGAAGTTTTACAATCTGTTGTAGATGAATTTAATGTTACTTTATTATTTAGTGTTACTTTATTATTTATTATCAATACTTTTGCATTTCTCTGTTGCAGTTTTAAGTGGTGGCCCTTTGCTTAGAAATCATGAATATGAATTGCATGAAGTTCGATTTCACTGGGGTAAAGAGAACCAGCGTGGCTCTGAACATACTGTGAATTTTAAAGCCTTTCCCATGGAGGTAAGGACCAGATTAAAGTAGACATTTAAGGATTGTGAATCATGAACTGAAGGAATATCTGTTTAGAACGTTGTAATTTTTTTCATCTTAAGAAAAGCATAATGTAATTTTCTTCTTTTTTAAAAAAAATCCCCATATGATATGTAACAATTATCATAAAACTGGGATTACTCTTTCATTCCTTGGGACATCCTCCTGATGTGAAAGGCCCTATACAATATAATTTTGTTGTTGACTACCACTAACAAAGGTTTAGTTCTGCAGTTTTGATCAGAAAATATAAGTGTTTGTCACCACTCGTGAATATAAATAATCTTGCCTTGAATAATGTTTCAAACTGTGTGTGTTGTGGGGTGGTGGGGGGGGGGGGGCAGATGGGTGGGGTTTAAGCAGGTTGGAGAGGTTGGGAGGTGTAAGGGCATGAAATGATTTGAAGGCGAGTCAGCAGCTGAATCAAGGATAGCTTTGCATGACTTGTGGTTAGACCAATCTATGATGATCACAATTCAATTTGTGGTTGTTGGCAACAATTTTAAGACTCTTATGTACTTCTCTAACCTGTATGCTAAGCCTGAACTGTAGTTTCAGCCACATCTATTGGCTCTTATTTTTCTTTCCCCTATACTGTTTTAAGCACCTTGCCCTCCCTTTCTAACATAAGTGAGTTGAGGGCAAGAAATGATCACGTTGATGACGATCACTTGTGTTAATCTATTTTTTTAACCAACAATCAATGTGACCAGTTATCTATTGGGAGAGAGATTGATATAATTCAAAGAAATCTAATTTAAATGAACAGGCAAAAGAATGGTAAATGCGATTTCATATGAAAGTAGTTAAGTTGAGGGGGAAAAAAAATCATGAGATGTTGAAACAAGTCTATGATGTTGTTTAGGAAAGCACGAAAGGAAAGCAATCAGATTGCTATTATTACGATTTGTTGAAATATCCAGTCATTTGTGAAGCACTTAGCAAATGGATGCATTGGAAAGTTCAGAGAAAAACAATGGCCAACATGATTGTGGGATTTTAAAGCTGAAAAGTGACTCCAAGACCTCACAAATCTGCAAAAGACCGTCAGCAACAGCAGCCAATTAACTTCTTTATTGAAAACCAAACAAAATAAGTATATTTTTCAAGAAAAGAATTGAAGACAATAAGATTATATAAGAATGATACTTGATACTTTCCGGGTGGTGCTGCCAGGATTTAAGCGAGTCATTTATAGAATGCAGCTGGTGGGAGTTGAATAGCATTTCTTGTAAATTTAGAGTCATGTTCTGAAGTTTCCCTTGATTACCTGTGAATTAAATTTCACAAACAGTATCTTTGCTCAGGTTTTACCTGCAGTTGATTGATTCCCTTGCTTGGGAATAGCTTTGGATAGATTTCATGAGACAAATAATACTTGGCCAGTGGATTAGTTTCTATGGTTCTTATAAAGGCAGGTAAATGGGACTGAGTAGATTGCTCGTTCAGATGGTCAGCATACACTCATTAGTCCAAATGGCCACCTTCTGTACATTTCTAGGTTCTGTAGCTTGAATGACTGTTCCTCATTCCTTTTCTTATGTTTTTAAGATTAACTAAAACTTGGATGAAACACGATATGTTAATCCTGTTAATTTGGAGTCCTGTAGCTCAGTGGTTGAGCACTCGCTTTGCAAGCTAGAGACCTGAGTTCAATTCCAGGCAGGGCGAAACCTTGGGCAAGTTTCCTAACTCCACATGCCTAATAATAATCCCTCCAAAACCAAAAAACAATAATAAATTGGTCATTTTCAATCCACGACTGTTTGTGGGACATTGCTGTGCGCAATTGGCTGCCGCGTTCGCCCACAAATATACAGTCAATTCACTTTACAGTGTGTTCTGTGAAGCGCTTTGGGACGTCCTCCCGACGTGAAAAGCGCTATATCAAATGCAAGGATTATTATTATTATTATAACTATGTAAGGATGTCAGCCTGGTTTTAGTTAATAGCACTCTTGCCTCTGAGTCAGACGGTTGTGGGTTCAAACACCATGTTGAGACAATGAGCTCACCCCACAATCTAGGCTGATACACCATCTCAGAGCTACACGAGGTACATCCTTCAAATGAAACATTAAACTGAAGTCCTGTCTCCCTGTTCAGGTGAACATTAAATATCCAATGGCATTATTCAAATATAATGAGTTTCATAGCTATATGCAAATTGACTGCTTTTTCTACTTACAAATGCACAATACTCACTACAATAAGTCTTTGAGATTCTTAACAGAGTGATAAAGCACTATTTCAAATGCAAGAATCATTACCAACTCAATGGTAAGGTTACAATAGTGAGGTTTTACACACTATTTGCTTGCCATTGACTGGAATGCTATTAAACATTGCTTGCTGTTCCAAGGTACCAGCATATCTAAGAAAATATGTCACTTTCCTATTGGTGCCATGTACAATTCATCCCAAGTTCTCTGGGCTTCCAGAATACCTCAGAGGTATCCTTGGAAGACATGTACTCTTTTCACAATTGTTCCAACTGCTTCTTGTTTGCATTTATTTTCAATATAATCTCTCTGAAACGCCACTCTCAGGCCCATCTGACTTGTTCCCTCCCCTCTTTCAATGTACACTTCAAAACATCCCACTTTAACTGTGGTCATCTTTCACCTCTAAGACCCCCTTCCCCTGCTCCGTTGCCCAGAAGAATTGTCAAAGCTTTTGGGACATCCTCCCAATGTGAACGTGCGATATAAGTGTAAACTGTATTGCAATATCATCATTATTATTACATAAACTTCAGGGGCAAAAACACCTTGTGAATCCACTCTGTCCTTTGGATGAAATGTTAATAAACAATGTCCTAGCTGCTTATTCAGGTGGACATTGAAGATCCCATTGCATTTATTAGAAGAGAGAATGAAGTTTATCCCAGTGTCCTGGACAACAAACCTCCAAATAAAGTTGGCAATTTGCTCCTTCATTGTGGGACATTTCTGTGTACAAATTGGCCTCTGTTTGCCTACAAATGCACTACACATTACAGTATATCCTGTGAAGCACTTTTGGATGTTCTCCTGGTATGGAACGTACTGTACCAAATGTATGAATTTTTTTTTAAAATTGTACATTTTCAATATCTGCAATCTTATATTTCCAGCTCCATCTTATCCACTGGAATTCAACTCTGTTCAACAGCATTGATGAAGCTCTGGGGAAGAAAAATGGAATAGCTATCATTGCTTTGTTTGTTCAGGTAATCATTCTATTGTTTAACATGATAATTCTCTTTTCCAGAGAATAGAATGTGGTATCAGAGTCAATCGGCTTGGCTGCCTCCATGTACCATCTATTTACACAGTGCCTTGGTAGAGCACAAGGTGAGAAAATAGGCAGAAAATCTCATCGTTCTGAATTTGACTGATAAAAAGAATGCAACTCTACTTGATATCCTGAGCTAAATATGGTGTTGCCTCCCTCAGAGCTCCTGGCCTCATTGGACAGTGTGAACTCAAGTTACCTGATGAAATAGGGCCACAGTGTAAAATGATCTGTGACCGATAAACAATTGTGCATTGCTACTGCAAGTATGGTTAGTGGCAATAAATCTCGAGGTAGTCTGGCGGGTATCAGAAACTGACAGAAACATTGAGAGAATGGGGAATTGAAAGTGCATTAAGTTGGTGAACTTCAGTAATCTCTTCTGAATTCTTGAGGCAGCAGCAGTTACAATTGGTACCGACATTGACAACAATAAGAAAAAAGTTTCTTGCTTAGCCTCTTAATATAACAGTTTTACTAGAAAACATTCCAAGTTATTGCTTAACATGCATCAATTGTTGAATAATCCTTTTAGAAATAAGACTGCATTTTTACTGACGTATACAAAGGAAAATAATGTGTTAAAGCTGTTACTTAACCCAATCTCTGTAAGTAAAAGGGATACAGTATTTTATTTATATGGAAATTTAAATAAAATTGGTCCATACTTTTGGAGATCTTCCAAATGGAAAAATTACTATTGCCACATTCTCCCACAAATTACAAGCACAAACTCAACAACAACTTGCAGTTATAAAGTCTTCACACGTCTCAATATTCTTTCTTTAAAAATATTATAAAAAATATTCTTACCTCAAAGTGCTTCCTGTCCCCTGTTAATAGTCATGGAACTGAGACAGCATAGAACTGATGTAAAATGAATAAATAATAAATGAATAAATTTAGATAAAATTTGAGTCTGCTACCTGGTTGTGGGTTCAAGCCCCATGCCAGGATGTGACCTCACATAGTCTAAGCTAACATGGGACGGTGTTGCATTGTTGGAGGTGTCATCTTTCAAGTGAGATGTGAAAACCAAGGCCCTGTTTGCCTGTTCAGGTGGATTGCAAAGCTCTCATGACACTATTCAAAAAGGGAGAGGAGTTTCACCTGGTGTCCTGGCCACCAATCCCCCTGATAATATTGGTCATTCACTTCATGGCTTTTTGTGGGATGTTGCTGTGAACAAATTTGCTGCTGAATTTGCCCACAAATATACAGTCACTCCACTTCACAGTAAATCCTGTGAAGCACTTTAGGAGAGCCTTCCGACGTGAAAGGTGGTTATACAAAATGCAAGTATTATTATTGGAGGCCAACCAGTCTTCCCTCATCAAAACAGGAAGTAAGTGGTTAAATTAATCAGGCATCTGTTGTGCACCATCCAGTGCTCAGCAGGTACAGTATTGTGGAGCAAGTGGGAAGCCAGGCTTCTATTGGCTGCGCCAGATTACTTTCAATCAGACTGAAACAAACTCTTAAGCATCTAAGTGTGGTATTTGGAGCGTATGCTTTGCTAAATGCGCCGAACAAGATCAGAACTATTCGAAAAGAGATTGGCGTTTCTCCCAGTGTCCTGGCCAACAATTCCCCAAGTAAAATTAATCATTCACTTTGTGGCTCTGTGGGGCATTGCTATGCGCAAATTGGTTGCTGCATTCAAGTACGACATACATAGTCCATTACAATTTTACGGTATATCCTGTGAAGTGCTTTGAGATATCCTGAAGTGGAAGTAGCAATATCAAATGTAAGTATTATTATAAAATGTTCATTGGCTGTCAAAGCTTTGAATGGAGCTTGGGGAGCTAGCCAGGCATAAATTTCATCGCTGCTTAAATCTCCTCCTCAGATGGTTTCTGTGCATGTCCTTGTTACTGCTACACATTAGGTAGCAAATTGTTGCCAAAAATGCTGCCAAAATGTGCACAGTATAATAGTGGCTGGTTCAAGATTGAGATTGGCAGAAGCCAGCTGGCGGTTTACCCATTTGCCCTCTTGACGGGGTGTGTAATTTGTTTCGAGAGACCCAGCAGAACAAACAGAGAAAAATACATTTAAAGATTTACTTTATTTCAAACAAGGAACTGGAGATTCTAAATAACTGGCATTAATAGTTTAGAACAAATGTACTGGGGTGGAGAGAATCTCTTGGATTTCAAACCTGGGGAAGTGCAGTTCCTACGTGAAACAAGTTTACTAATTTAATATATACAGGGGACAGCAAAGATTTGGGATCCGTTAAAAGTAAAACAAAATTGGAAATATTGCTTTGTCTCTAATAATACTCAGTTTTTTTTTGTCAAATAGCTATCAAATTCCCACTTGGATTTATTGACACAGTCCTAGCATCACTTCCCTGAGTAGCCCATTTCATAAATGCAATATTCCCTGTGTAAAATTGTTCAATCTAAATTCATAGAGGGTAATTTTTAATATAAATAGGCCTCTATTTATTACACTGGTTTCTCTTGGAGTTCCAGAGAGAAAGCCCAGTGCTACATGCAGCTGAGGGTCACTGGAAATATAACTGTGAAATATGGGAAAGTACGTAAATAATAAGAAATGCACTTTGATAGATAATAATAATAATAATAATAATCCTTGCATTTGATATAGCGCTTTTCACGTCGGGAGGACGTCCCAAAGCGCTTCACAGAACACACTGTAAAGTGAATTGACTGTATATTTGTGGGCGAACGCGGCAGCCAATTGCGCACAGCAATGTCCCACAAACAGTCGTAGATTGAAAATGACCAATTTAATTATTGTTTTTGGTTTTTTTGGAGGGATTATTATTAGGCGTGTGGAGTAAGGAAACTTGCCCAAGGTTTCGCCCTCTGCCTGGGATTGAACTCAGGTCTCTCACTTGCAAAGCGAGTGCTCTAACCACTGAGCTACAGGACTCCACAGTCTTAATGTGAAATTCCTAATTTGCCAAACATATCTGTTGTTGGCTGTTAGCTTCTGCAGTATACAGGGCGACTCAGTTATGATGCACCTTGGTTTAGTGCTGGGTCTCTTATAGTGTGGGTCCATTCATAATTCTTACCTCCTTCCCAAGACCCTCCTCTTTGACCGTGCTTTCGATCACACTCCTACCCCTACCCTTCCTGCCCTCTAGCCCTCCTGGTCCCAACCACCAGCTCGAATGCAGATCCCTGACTGTCCAGCACCTTAGGATGTCCTCCTGACATGAAAGGCCTTATACAAATGTAACTTGTTGTTGTGATACAATGGACCATGGCTATACCGGAATTGTGGTGCACCTTGTTTTCCAGTGCTGATGAGCCACCATTGTCAGCAGTCACCTGTGTCATCATATAGTATATGTAATGAAGTCCACAAACATCATCTCCTGTGCATGCACACAGAATGCAGGATGCACTGCTGATGTCAATTTGTTTAGTAAGTGGCACCATCTGTTGTCCATAGGGCAGGAAGTCGCGCTTCCTGAATATAGTGTGCATATGTGCAGTAAGTCATGTTGGCAGGGACCTGATAACAACAACTTGGATTTATACAGCGCTCTCCACACCGGACGGCGTCTCAGAGCGCTTTACAGTAACAAGGTGGCCAATTTTTGTGTTTCATTTTAATGCAGCGTCTGTGTTTATGGACCCAGACCACTGCGTTGTGTGTTGCCCTGTACTTGCGCCTTGGGATGTGCTCCCAACATGAAAGGCGCTATACAAATGTAATCTTGTTGTTGTTACTATTGTTTAATAATAATCATTCCTGGATCATTACAAATTAGCTACATGAAGTATGTGGTCATTTTAAAAAGAGCTTTTTTTCTTTCAGAGATAAAGTACATAAACTGAAGCAAGTACTTTGCCATGTAAACAAAGCCCCATTTAAACTTACTGCTTTTTGTTATCCATTAACTGTTAACATGAGTTTAAACATTAGAACAATGCTTTAATCTGTATACTCGAATTCAAGATCCTCACCTACAAGGCCATTCACAGCCTTGCTCCCTCCTACCTCTCTGACCTACTATCCCCCGACCTACCCGCCCGTACCCTCCGTTCCTCTGGCTCCGGTCTGCTCCACATCCCCCGCCCCAACCGCCCTACTATCGGTGGCCGGGCCTTCAGCCTCTCATCCCTTAGGCTCTGGAACTCTATCCCCAGTGCCTTCGCCTTGCTTCCTCCCTTTCCTCCTTCAAGGCCGGTCTCAAGACCTTTCTCTTTGACCGTGCCTTCAGCTCCCCTCTCGACTCTCTACCCCCTCCTCGCTCCCTCCCTTCCCTCACCCTGACCATTTCCCCCCTGCTTGGGTCCTGACCCAACTGTACAGCGCTTTGGGACGTCCTCCCGACGTGAAAGGCGCTCAATAAATGGAATCTTGTTGTTGTTATTGTGTATTTTTTTCTTTTCAACAATAATGTTCTGATAAAATGGGTGTATTTTGGCTTCTTTTATACTTAAATATTCTGAATGCCTTAAAGACTGATTTAGCCCATAACCAATTCAGACATAGCTCTGAATTTTGACCAAACTCAGATGCAGTGAGTCCTGGTCACAATGGGATGACATCCCTCCTGTCACTAATTTTAGCTTCGATCTCGGGAGATGCAGTAAAAATGAATGATTCAACAGTGTAGAGTTCCTCCAGCATTCTTATCCCTCCAAAAGCAATATAAAACTTGGGTAAATGGGCCAATTTGGCTTGTTAGGACCTAGATAAAGGTATTTTAGGAGGAACTTGTGCAGCATTGTGCATTTGAGAACAGGCATATTGATGTTAGTAGGGTTGATGTTAATGAGTTTGGCGATTGGGGGTGGGGAAAGGTTATGGATCTGTAATTGTGCAGCAATTGAATAGAGTACAGAGGTGTTTTCTGCCTAAGAACATGGGTACTACATCGTTGACGGGTATTCGTTGAGTGAGAGCACTCGCTTTGCAAGTGAGAGACCTGAGTTCAATCCCAGGCAGGTCAGGGCGAAACCTTGGGCAAGTTTCCTTACTCCACAATAATAATAATCCCTCCAAAACCAAACAATAATAAATTGGTCATTTTTAATCCACGACTGTCTGTGGGACATTGCTGTGCGCAATTGGCTGCCGCGTTCGCCCACAAATATACAGTCAATTCACTTCACAGTGTGTTCTGTGAAGCGCTTTGGGACGTCCTCCCGACGTGAAAAGCGCTATATCAAATGCAAGGATTATTATTATTATTATTATTTATAAATTGGATTATTTACATGGTCAGTATATTTTCTCTCCATTCACACTGGTTCCAGTCCCACACATTAGTTTACAATATAACCTATATCATTAAAATTAAGCTTATAATAATCCTTGTATTTGATATAGCGCTTTATCATGTCTTCGAGACATCTCAAAGCGCTTCACAGAATATACTGTAAAGTGAATTGACTGTATATATTCTGGGCAATAAGCGGCAGCCAATTGTGCACAGCAGTGTCCTGCAAACAGTCCTGGATTCAACTGACCAATTCATTTTTTTGAAAGAAATATTACCCCCAGAAAAATGATCCGCCAATCAACTAACAGCTGGGTTCCTACTTATTGTTAGGTAAACAGAGGCATGTGGAGTAAAGAGACTTGCCCAACACGTTGCCCTGCCAGGAATCGAATCCAGGTTTCTCGCTTGCGAAGTGAGGGCTCTAACCATCGAGCTACAGGACTCCACAACTTTATTGCTAAAGTTTTCATGCTTAATGTAAATGGTTGGTTCAGCGCTGGTAGCATCCCAGAGTGCTTGACAGTGTTGGAGCGCTGAGCTGGGGGTGGTAGGTGACCATAGGCAAGGTCGAAGAGAAAGGTCAACAACAAATTACGTTTGTATAGCGCCTTTCACAACGGAAGGACGTCCCAAGGAGTTGGAGGTTCAACATGAAAATGAGATAGGAAGAGGCGGGACAGAGGAAAAGTGTTCCATAGTTTTGGGGTGTATATCAATGTGGAGTAATATCAATGTCAGCAAAATTACCAATCAGCAAATAATCAGTAGCGCTTGCAAAGTTGATATATTTCACTTTGATCAGATAATTAGATTTTGGGTAAGGATTGAGATGGTTGCAAAATAATCTTTTTTTAAATCTTTTCTTTAAAAAAAACTTTGTTTGCCACATGACTTACAGGACTGTGGCCTTGTGAGCACAGGAACTGTGGAAATCATTCACTGTGAAGCTTATTCTGTCATTTTGTTACATGGTGACTAATCTTTTGATCCAATCTGTTCCATTTCCCTGAATGCTTTTTTTAACCATTTCTTTTTTAAACATTCCAATTTATTTTTGGACAGTTGTGGAGTCCTGCAGCTCAGTGGTTAGAGCACTCGCTTTGCAAGTGAGAGACCTGAGTTCAATTCCAGGCAGAGGGCGAAACCTTGGGCAAGTTTCCTTACGCCACACACCTAATAATAATCCCTCCAAAACCCAAAACAATAATAAATTGGTCATTTTCAATCTACGACTGTTTGTGGGACATTGCTGTGTGCAATTGGCTGCCGCGTTCGCCCACAAATATACAGTCAATTCACTTCACAGTGTGTTCTGTGAAGCGCTTTGGGACGTCTTCCCGACGTGAAAAGCGCTATATCAAATGCAAGGATTATTATTATTATTAGTTGTATGTTTGACACATGTGGAAACCCATCACCATGCTCACGTGGGTCCAAACCAAACTGAGATTTCCATGCATCCCACCTACACATGGAAATCCTGGAGACAGATTGTTGGAATGGAATGCAAACTCTCTCCCTGGAGAGTCGCATCCTGCTTACCCAATTCCAGAAAGTATTAGGCGCAGGTTGGCAAGAGCCAAGGCTTGGGGACACCAGAGTGTGTGTTTGGGTACTGCTGGAGTCTGACCAGCTAAAACTGCATAGCTTACCATTGATATCGCTGTCTGGCAAGCTTTCCTGCTGCTTGTCCAGCTAGGACCACCCTACCCATTAGGGCTTTGTCTTGCAGGGTTAACAGGGCTGAACATTCAATTGATTCTGCATTTACAAATATTCTCATAACCCTCTTTGTGAAGAAATATTCTTTTTTCCATATTACAGATAGGAAAGGAACACTGGGGCCTGAAGGCAGTCACTGAAATCCTTCAGGAAATTCAGTACAAGGTAAGATACAAAAACATTTTTCCCATTGCACATAAATAAAAATACCTGCTTCCTTTGTGCTGATTCAGAATCCTGATGATAGGGAGTTAATACTTAACTTATCTGCCTTTGCATATTATTAAACTTAGAAACAAAAGTGTAAAGGTTTGTCGTAGAGTTGTATAAATTTGCAATCTGTACATCAATATATTTTCACACTAAAATGAAGCAAAATGAACTTGAAATTGTATTGTGAATTCACTCAGACCAACTAAGTTACAGATGATTAATAGCCCTGCCAGAATTTCAAGGCTGTCAAATGCCTTGTTCTTTGAGAAGGATAGACCGATATGGTATAAACAGAACTAACTTTCACAGCACTTTGTAACTGTTCTACATGAAAATCAATCTTTTTAATTTTTTTCTTAATTTAGGGCAAATCAAAAACCTTACCCTGCTTCAATCCTAACACCCTACTACCTGGTAAGGATGTATTTACTCCTGTATTAGTACTCAGTCATTCATTTTTTGTCTTAAAATTACAAAATGCACTAGTTGTTCGGTATGGATATTAGATCTCATTAAAGGCGATGAATTATCTCTGGCATTTTTTGTTCATGTTCTAAAGCCTTGTTTTATTATTATTTATTATTATTACATAAAGCCTTGTTTTGCATTTTTGTCCCATCTGTCAATGATTTAGATCCACTCCTTCGAGATTATTGGGTGTATGAAGGCTCTCTCACCATTCCTCCATGCTGTGAAAATGTGACTTGGATATTATTCCGATACCCTTTAACAATCTCGCAGCTCCAGGTACATAATGATCCCTGACACTGTAGACTTGTATAAGATCAAATGACATTTAGAAAGCTACTTTTAAGAATTTTTTTAAATATAAAAAAACATTTCTTTGTCATGCATCTCTTTTAAGCAAAGGTTACAGACTTTGAATTCTTACAAACAAGAGAACCCCAAGGAAAGGTCAAAGATGAAATGATGGTTGACTTTTTATCACACTTCATTTTAAAGCAGATCAATGCCAGGTGGAAGAATAACCACTGAGATAAATCAATAGAGGAATAAATGTACTAAATTTTGGTTTAAGGGATTACTTTAGCTTCTAAATGTCATCATTGTTTGAAGTTGTCTGGTGGTATTTGATGATAAAAAGGTTATGCCTAAACTCTTTTATAAACAAAATTAATGGGGAGGCGGGAGGGGCTCAAAATAGGCGGTAGAGCAATAGTATTGCTATTCTTCTTAGGTTAATTTGAAAATTTAACATTAATGAAATAATATGAATAATTTAATATGTGTAAATATAAATGGTTCATACGGCTGTATTTACTCATTGTATGAGATTATGAGGCCACCGATTACCATTGTATCACTGGTAATGTTCAGTTCAATAGTCCTTCTAAGGCATGTAGAGAAACTGATGAGCAAAAAGACGGGCACTTTTTTAAAGAATCAGGATTTGTCACTTTTCTCACCCCCTCCCTCTCGTTTACCGTTGTTCTGTTGTATTTAAAACTGTGTTTGACAATATAAACACGCTGTTTTGCCACTATTTTAAACATGATTTTTAAAGAAATATAGAGTGAGAGCTCGGGACTCTCATACCTGTGGGAATGGAAGCCGTCAATATCTATGGTGAGGGGCTTTGCCTTTGTCGATGTTGTATGTGAAAATAGAGAGAATACTAAAATTACATTTCTTGGCATGAATAAACCAAACTCGTTAAAATTAATAGAAAATGCAATAATTGAGAAACAGGATCAAATGAGTGAACACCATTGAATTAGTGAATATAAAAATGCTGAAGGGTAATGCAAAGTTATTCATTCTTTTATTAAACTGGATTATGTTGTAAGGTGATGGTTTTATCCTTTCAATTTTAGTTATAACCAAGTTCATATTCCTCAAAGCAATAAGTGTAAAAAAAAGTAAATCAGTTTTCTTCAAATGTTCATTACTTTTTTGCAGTGTACAAAGTCATGTAATTATAAAGTTGCTGTCCTTAATATTTAGTTCAGTTTTTTTTAAACATTAAATGCTGCTTGAATAAATGACATGATTAGTTTGGATGAAGAAAGCTTTTCTGACTATTTGATCTCATTCTTCCAGAATACCCATCTGCCCATTACTGAATCAAGCTGTTTTTTTAAAAAAGGACAATGTCCTGGCTTCAACCACCCTTCCTGACAACCTGTTCCAATCATTAATTACTCTCTGGCCTTCAATCTCAATTTATAATTTTAATGTTAAAGCTAATTTTTTTAAAATTCATGAATTCTTAACAAAACCAAATTCTAAGGCTATAAATTGATGCTCACAAATGCTTGTGGTGCTTTGAGCTGCTTTTTCCTGTTATGTTTCCTGTTTATAAAGGAAATTTCGTGTCATGTTGAATGGAAAACGATGTCCTGTATTAAAAATAGAGCTTGATTGCCGGATTGAATGACTGAGAGAAACAGATCGGAAACAAAGTTACCGTAGGATGTACAGTTTAAGTGAAACTCACAACTCTTCTAGCACTATAAGCTGTGTAAATCGAATATAAAAGAGTTTAAAAAATGATGATTCTGTCATTTGGATGTTTACTGTTAGTTCATTAATAAGAAGGTGGATAACTAATTCATCATCTCCAACTCTAAAAGGAATTGAGAAGATGTTTGGGGATATGTAGTTAATATCCATTAAGGTGTCACAAAAGTGAAATTATTTAAAATGTATATTTAATAATATTTACATTATTTTGACATTTATAATTATTTACCCATCTCACTGGTATTCTGTTTAACAAGCTCATGCTGTTTTTAAGTTACTAATGAAATAATATTGCCAATGTTATTTTCCCATAACGTCCAAGTCAAATAGTTAACTAGGAAAGTGAGAGATGACTTGCTACCTTTACAAGATTTTGGATTGTTAACTGGAGGCTCACCCCTTTCCTGCAGTGTGGAATGGTGCCCCCGTGTGGCCATTTCCAGTTCCTTTATTCCTGTCATAACATCCAGCTATTGTGCCCGCTGCAGATTTAGAATAAATCTGTACATTGTAGAACTAACTTGTCGCTGCTTTAGTTTTGTTGAATCTCTCAAAGTTCTGAATGTGTAGAAATCCCTTCTCCATCTCAAATATACAAACTATTGCCTATGGTCCCTTTTTGGCTACCTGAGTATTCTAGCATTTTATTGTCACAGTACAATTCAAGCAGAAGTAGACTATTGGTCCATTTAACCTACCCATCCGTTTCCTTTACAATTCCTTTAACTATCTATCTCTGAACCTAACAACCACGAGTCCTTTTGGTTGACAAGAAATTGATTACAAATAAATGCAACAGCAACAAAATTATATTCTTAAAGCACCTTTCACGTAGGGAGGATCTCCCAAGCCGCTGAATTTAAGGTACTGCATACTGGAAGTAAAGACTGAGGCATTAAATTCCCAAGGGGAAGCTGAAAGATCTTGGGGCATTAATTGATTCAAAGCTCGCCATGTCGAAACATTCTGAGTCAGCAATTAATAAGGCTAACAGGATTTTGGACTATATTGCCAAATCAGTTGAGTTTAGATCTTTAGATGTCATATTTTGTATGGGGTGTATTGTATGGCACAATTTGGATTAAGGGGCAAAATTTTGCATGAACTCCTTCCCCATACCAATTGGTATAGACCCAAAACAATCCACTAGACCAGAAATTCTTTATATACAGCCAACACATTATACATCCGGCTGGAATGCTGTTGTCTTGAGTCCTGAGAATGAGTGAATGACTGATTGACACTGTATTGTCACAGCAGTTGCCTGGGGCTAACAGTGAGATTGAGTAAACAAATAATAATAATTTGGTCACTCAATCCACGACCATTTGTGCGACAGTGCTGAGTGCAATTGGCCCACAAAAACATACAGACAATTCACTTTACAATATATTCTGTGAAGCGCTTTGAGACTTTTTGAAGATGTGAAAGTGCTATATCAAATGCTATTATTATTTAAATGGATAGTGCTTTTCTCAGGCCACACCTCGAATACAATTTTGGTCACCTTGACATAAGAGGATGCCTGGACCCTAGAGACAGTGCAGAGGAATGCAATGAGGTGATCCTCAGTGTTACAGGAATGAACTCTAAGCAATGATTAGCCAAGTAAGAGTTCTTTAGTCTTGAAAGGAAAGGCCTCAGAGGGGACCTTGGAGAGAGGTATACAAGATTTTAAATGGGATTTGGAAAGTAAACCCAGAACAACACTTTCACATGCACTGAGGCAGCAGAACAAGAGAACGTGGGTTTAGGATTGCAAAGAGCAATTTCAGGACAAAGACCATAAAGTATATCTTGACGCAGAAGGTAATTAACAACTGGAACTGGTCATCAGGAAGGGTGGTTGACATCAGGCCACTTGGCCCCCAGCTCGTTTCCGAAACATTGTCTGTCCAGCGCCCTGGTACGACCTCCTGACGTGAAAAGCGCTATACAAATGCAATTTTGTTGTTGTTTCCTAAATTCTGGAACTGCACTCACTTCAACAATTAAATATCCTTTTTGCTATCAGAAAGCCAAAGCACACAAGGTTAACCTTCAGCCTTAAAATGTAAGATCAGACTGAATTTTAGAAACTTAAATTCAATCTTAGAGATTTGTGGAACACCGGCCTCAAAATTAGGATTGAATTTGACATTGTTTGCACTTAATACAGTACATTATGGAACGTTAGAATACTCATTGCTCTGTTTAAGGATCCCACTTTAAAACCCTACCTCTTTGACTGCTCCTATGGGCACCTTTCCTTTCCCCTGGCTCGGCCACTGTGAGGCCCTCCAAGATATTATCCTACGTGAAGGGTGCATTATAAATATAACTTGTTGATGATGCATGTTTCTGGCATGGCAAGTTGTCCTTCTTAGTTACTGTTCGAAAGTGAAAACCTACCTGTGTCCTGATTGTATTAGTCAGTCTTGGAGCTAGTTTTTTAAAGAAAGCAAGTTGATCATATAAGATTGAATAAATACGTAAAATTGTTGTTTGACAGTGAAAGGAGCAAAATACGCGCAGAGTATCTAACCAATACTCTATGGTGCACTTTCCAATACAATTTTAACTTGTCTGTTGAAGCTGTTTCAATTTTAGAAGCAAAATCTTGCAAGCATGTTCATACTCGTAAGTTGATCGTCCATTTTTTAACATATTTTATTTCCTTGTTATGAACAAACAATTCAAGGGTGATCATTAACTTTAACTACGCAGCAGCAGCTTGCAATGCAGTGATATGATATTGTTCTACCTTTCATTAGTGTAATCGATGGGTGGTGATTTTAGATAAGACTGAAGTATAGCATGATGCATTAAAACTAATTGCACAGTGAATATTTGAGTACATTGTATCGAAGGCAATTTTGCAGCATTTCAATACTTTTGTGATTAAAAAGGACAATGATTGAATTGGTATCTCCAAACAAATCTATTTTGTGCAGTAAATCATTTTTCCTATATTACACTGACCTCTAATAAATATTCTTGATTTACAGACTTTGCCTTATGCAAGTGAGGTTTGGAGCAATTGTTTTGTTTTCCGTCACTGATTGCAAATAACGAGCGACCACAATATAGTATACCATATTTGGAAATATATTGATTGATAAAAATAATGCTAATAATAATCCTTGCATTTGATATCATGCCGTTGAGATGTTTCAAAGTGCAACACAGGATATACTGTGAAGTGAGTTGACTACCTGTTTTGTGGGCAAAACAAACAAAAATGTATAACTGTTTCAATTTTCTCTTCATTGCTTTCTAGATAGAAGAGTTCAGAAGGGTACGGTCACATGTAAAAGGAGCAGAACTGCCTGATGGCTGTGATGGGATTTTAGGAGACAATTTTAGGCCAACTCAACCACTCAGTGACCGCGTCATCAGAGCTGCATTCCAGTAAGGAACAGGATTGATTTCAGGTATCCCCTAAACAAAAAGCTTCTATCTGGCCTAAAATAAAATTTTACTCACAATATCTACGATTGTACAGATTTATTAGATGAAGTGACCAAGAATGTATAGCATTTCTGGTCAATAGTATGTGTGTATAAATATATATATACACAATACTGCTTGCAACAGAGGGCAGTATATTTTGTCTTTTGTTGCAATCTATGCTTAGTTTACAAAATTAATATACCTAAATTTAAAATTAAGAAGTTGCTCAATTTTGTCGATGAATTTTTAAACAAATGTACCTCATAAGTGATGTTAATGCCCTTATTGTCACTGTGAAACTCTTTGAGATGTTATCCTACTGTAAGTGCAAATTGATTTTTTTTGGAACAAGATTTTTGTGCAGAATTTATGGCTTTAGTGATCAAATTAGATATAGAAAATCTCATTAATGAGCAGGTGAATGGTATACCAATTTGGCTTCTCTTCCTCCAACAAAGAACCTACACACAGTTAATTTGGTGCCAGTTTAGCAGAAAATCCATCAAGTAGTTAAAGTAAATATAAATAACAACAACTTGCATTTATATAGCGCCCTTCACGTGGGGTAACATCCCAGTTGATAGTGGAAGAGTCTGACCGTGAGCCAGAGAGAGGTGGGGGAAGGTGACTGTAAGCACTATCAAGAAGGAAGGTCTTTAGGTGGGATTTGAATTTAAATAGCCTGCTTACATGCATATATTTTGTGTTGCTGTGCATTGCAAGCAAATAATGTGGCAGATTTAGAAACATTGTAAAATTTTGTCTTTCAATATAATGATATCCTACCATGCAAAGCAGAAGGTTTGAACATTTAGTAGTGATTTTCATTTATGTTCATGTGTAAAGTCTTTGTCTTAGGAGGGCAACAAGTTTTATTAGACATTATTTTGTTACTTAAAATGCTGCTGAACATGCTGTTTCAACGTGCTATACCATGGAACGTTTTCTCATTCATGGTGCTTGCCTATTAAGTGCATTTTAAATAGTTTAAGGTATAATCTGTGAAGCACTTTGAGACATCCTTCCAATGTGAAAGATGCAATACTAAATAAGGATTATTATGATGATTACTTTCAAGGTCTGAAAAGTTTAGTTAATAGGGTGTTGAGTGCAGGCCAAGCTCTTGTTCAATAGGAGGAGGAAATGATTGTTGTATCAGCCTCATTGTGGAGTCCTGTAGCTCAGTGGTTAGAGCACTCGCTTTGCAAGTGAGAGACCTGAGTTCAATTCCAGGCAGAGGGCGAAACCTTGGGCAAGTTTCCTTACTCCACACAGAGCCTAATAATAATCTCTCCAAAAACCAAAAACAATAATTAAATTGGTCATTTTCAATCTACGACTCTTTGTGGGACATTACTGTGCGCAATTGGCTGCTGCGTTCGCCCACAAATATACAGTCAATTCACTTTACAGTGTGTTCTGTGAAGCGCTTTGGGACGTCCTCCTGACGTGAAAAGCGCGATATCAAATGCAAGGATTATTATTATAAAGGGGCCTTGGCAGAAGTCTTGAGCTTACTATTTTGGTGGAGGGATGTAGAGTAGATAATTTTTTAAAAAGCAAGATTTTAAAGACAAATGGAATAATAACCTGGCATTTGACATAGTGCCTTTACATCGTCTAGACACCTCAAAGGACTTCACAGAATATTACCATAATGTAGCTGTGTGTGTGTTAGTACTCGTGGGCGAATGCAGCAGCCACTTTGCACACAGTTATGAAGCTTTGGTTGTGACAAGATAAGTGATGTGTTCACAGCATCTTGCTCTCCTACCAGGTAAAAGTTAATATGTTTTATTACAATGGAACTTTTATTAACATCCCATAGATGCAAAAGTGAAGCAGTTGCACTTGAGACCTATGAACCTGTTTTCATTTCTTAAAAGAAATGGAAGCTCAATGACGCTAATTCAGACCTTATTATTAATAATTCAGGCACCATGGCACTGACCCAATTTTACACAAACTGATGAAGTTGGGAATAGAATAAACTGGGATTTCTACAGACGTATTATGAGTAATAAAACTCAAGTTTTGAAAACCTCACTTTACTGCTCGTCCTTGGGTTGATTGATTTTTCTGCTTCCTAAAGCAAAATGCTGCTGAGGCCAATTGTAGGACCCTAACTGCTACCCCAACTAAATAAGCTAAATCACCACAGACCAAGGTTGAAGCTGAGACCTTCTTGCACTTTAAGGCTCTGCTATTGTTAGAGATCCTTTTTGTTCATTTTGAATTCCAGATTGCTCCTTTCATGTATAAAACAATTGGTCCTTTCATTGGTTCTTTCATGTTAAATTCATTCATTATAGTAAAATCGATCAATATTGTCCATGCAGGTGAATAAAGATGGTAACAAAATTGATCTTACCTTTAGTTTTCAGTTATGGCAGATTGAATGAGTCAAGTCCTATTGTTGTGCTTTTTTTTACTTTATGTAGTTATCACTAGAATCTTGTACATCTGCTGTGTTTGATTTACAGCAGTTGATGTGCACTTCCTTTAACTTGCCAAAGTAAACAACACTGGATCACCCCCGAAGAGCTGTACTGCAAAGTTGGTTCATTGGGAAGTAGGTTGCATATCAACAAAGTTAAAAAGAAAATTGAATGAATACTTCCAGGAAATATTAAAGGGTTTGGGGATGGAGCAATGGATTGGGATAAGAGTGAATAACTACTGGGAAAGGAAACACTAGCACAGACACGAGAGGGCTGAATTGTCTCATATGCAATAAACCTTGAATGATTTTTACACTCATTTAAGTAGCAGGTATCTTAAGAAATATTAAACTGAAAGATGTATTCATACAAATCCTTTAATCGAACAAAGTTTTCAAATGCGTGGATGTTTTCTGCTTTTATAAAGCATAAAACATGCTTTACATAGCACATAACATGATTTATACTTCACGTCGGAAGGACATCCCAGCCTTGAGACGTCCTCCTGATGTGAAAGGCGCTATACAAATGTAATTTTGTTGTTGGTTTAAGTGTTCTTCCCCCACCCCCCCTCCCCTAATTTACATGACAATCCTGAGCCCTTAAGAGGGAACCAATAAAGTCAGCCAATTGGATCTAGGTTGGATTTGGTTGATGGATAAAAATAAACTATTGTACCCACAAATATACAGTCAATTCACTTTACACTATATTCTGTGAAGTGCTTTGAGACGTCTCGAAGACATGAAAAGCGCTATATCAAATGCAAGTATTATTATAAACTTTGTTGTTACTTTCCAAAGATTCAATTCTAACAGCAACAAGATTTCATTTATAAAGCGCCTTTCACGTCGGGAGGACGTCCCAAGGCGCTGGACAGTTGGGTCGGGACCCGAGCAGAGGGGAAGTGGTCAGGGTGAGGGGAGGGAAGGGAGGGAGAGAGGAGTGGGTAGAGAGTCGAGAGGGAAGCTGAAGGCACGTTTGAAGAGAAAGGTCTTGAGACCGGCCTTGAAGGAGAAAAGGGAGGAAGCAAGGCGAAGGCACTGGGGAATGGAGTTCCACAACATGTGGTAGTTTAATGACTATCTTTAATGAAATATAATTTTAGATGTGCAAGTGTAGATGAGCTGCTAAATTGTTCATTAAAAAAATTCTAGTAATGAGAAGATACACTATATGTCAGCTAGTGGCTACAACGCACTATGTGAGAATGACTGGCATTCCCTTTTATTAGTACCCTTTCAAACATCAGAATTAAATGTTTGCAGATCTGGAAATAGTCTCTGAAGGATCATCCATAAATAAAAAAAACTATTTTAGACAAGTGGTGAGACTATAATGACAGTAATTCATTGAAAGAATGGGATCTGTGTTGAAGTCTGTATGAATTCAACATCCATTCCTCTTCTCATTCATAAAATTATTACAATAATAGTATAAAACAGATTTAGGGGAAAATATATTATCTACTTATTCTGACTCTTCTACATCCCAAATCTCTGATCTACTTCCTTTTACATTCTCTACTGCATGGATACAGGAGTCCTGTAGCTCAGTGGTTAGAGCACTCGCTTTGCAAGCGAGAGACCTGAGTTCAATTCCAGGCAGGGCGAAACCTTGGGCAAGTTTCCTTACTCCACACGCCTAATAATAATCCCTCCAAAAACAATAATAAATTGGTCATTTTCAATCTACAACTGTTTGTGGGACATTGCTGTGTGCAATTGGCTGCCGCGTTCGCCCACAAATATACAGTCAATTCACTTTACAGTGTGTTCTGTGAAGCGCTTTGGACGTCCTCCTGACGTGAAAAACGCTATATCAAATGCAAGGATTATTATTATTAAATTCCAAATAAACTGAAGAAAGAGTTTTTCTCTCTACTGCTGCTGGCATAGAGAATCAGTTACAGGGAATTGACAGCCTTTTTGTTTTTTTTAAAAAAAAGTTTCTTCACAATAGCTGCTTACTTTGCTTGCTTTTGAATTGATCCAGGTCCTGGATGAAATGGTGATGTAGGTTTGAGTTTATAAATATAGAATTAAGTGCGTAAAATCTGCATCCCCGAAATGTGCCATTCACCCTAACCAGTTTGTGCCAGTGTTTATACTCCATATGACCCTTGTGAGCCTCTCCCCTACCTAGCCTTCCCTCACTCCTCTCTATTTAATTCTCTCTCATCTAAATCGTACATGCACCCAATTCCAATTAATTTTCCTACTTAAAAACACTTCAGTTTCTTTGCCCTAATTGTATTTTACAAGTCAAATAAATGGATAAATTGCAATGATTTCTTGGTCTCAAATAATGGAAATCCTAATGGAAATCATCTTCTAATACATATCACCACAACTGCCTCTACCAGCTGCATTGACAAAATACTGCATGTATAGGGCTACGTTTGAAATATAACAGCTCAGTAACTGAAATAACTCAGCTACAGTGTTGATAGATTTCTGTAAGAGTTCATGTTCTACAAAAACTTCTGTTTGGAAATCTGTTTGCTAGCGCCATTCATTCACTTGGGCAAGTTTCCTTACTCCACACACCTAATAATAATCCCTCTAAAGCAAAAAATAATAATAAATTGATCATTTTCAATCCACGACTGTTTGTGGGACACTGCTGTGTGCAATTGGCTGCCCTGTTTTGCCCACAAATATACAGTCAGTTCACTTTACAGCATATTCTGTGAAGCGCTTTTGAGATGTTTAGAAGACGTGAAAAGCGCTATATCAAATGCAAGGATTATTATTGTTATTATTCCTCATGTTGTCTGCACATAAGGAGATGTATATTCTATAAATGTATTTGTTGTGCATTAGACTATAAAATCCAACTGATGCATAACTCATACTTTGCAAAAGTTATATTGAATGTTATGGTCTTGACTGGTGAGACTTATGCAGTTTACCTGCACATTAGAACATAACATAAGAAATATTAAACGAAAAAAGACCAAGTTCATCTAATTCGTCTTCCACCTTCCTGGCAGTCGCATGCACATATGTCCCGAACTACCTATGTGCTATATTCCATAATGTTATTTCGTAAAAGAAAACTATCTAATCTGTGTTTGGAAGAATCAACACTTCCTGTTTCAACTGTTTCCCAAGGCAGCCTGTTCCACAGGTTCACTATTTGCTCACTAAAATAGTGTTTGAATAGATTCATTCTGAATATGTAAACTGATACCAGGAGTGATTCATCTGAAAGTTAATATCAATTTGATGTCATGCAACTAATGTGGTATTTGAGTGATTTGCTTTAGTCTGTTTCAAAGTAACTAAAAAGCTTTCCAACTGAATCGCAAAACTGGATTTTGGTGTCATTTTAATTGTACTGAAGTAAAGCAAAATATAGTGATGCATCAACTCCGAGTTCAGTATATCAGACAAATCGGATTTTCTTTAAACGCAGACCCATGCTGTGCAGTCCCTACAAAGCTATAAGAAATATGTATCTAGTGCAGTGATTATTTCAAACCCAGATAAATAGCATGTTTATAATATATTCTCTTGAGCAACTTTTAAGACAAGCATTGTACAGTGAGAGACTTCACTGATATACTAGAACAGTTTTCTTGTTTTTCCATGTTCCTGATCAATCCAATGAACTGAGTAAGCCCTCCACCATGGAATTTCTCAGGCATGAATGTGCCATTCTCTTTTAACAGGATGAAGACAATGAACCCACAGTATCCCACTGTATGAGAAATGGATCTTTCTGAAGCTGCTGCTCCTTCAAAATACAAAGCCTGTTTTGTGTTGCTTTCTATAATGAATGCAGTTCTGAAAAGCAGCTGTGGCATTTGGCTTGTTCTCATCGTCCTGTTAAATATTCCAAGGAAAAAAAGCTGATGCACAAGAACAAGAGTTCATTTTAGGTGCCTCTCCCCCATCCTTCACATGGTTGTTCTTGTGAACTGTTTATGCACTTGTTATTTGTTAATGGTTATTACTTATGCATTTAATTGCAGCAAAATTCAGTGGTATATTTAATATAATTTAACACTAATGTGTATTTCTGAAATTTCTCACTTGTTTGAAGTTAGCTCTTTGCTGTTTGTGAATGGAGGAAAAGTTTTGCTTTACTGCAATGCAAGAGCATTAAAGAAAAATACTTTTGACTGCTTGGATAAAACAAATGTGATTCGATGGTAATCTGCATGACTGAATGGAATTGCATTAAGTGCACGTGACAAACAAAGCATAATTGTCCTTCCAAAGGGTTCAGCAGGCAATTGGTTACCATGTTTATAAATATAACCGGTTTAGTTTGAAGACTATTACATTTTAACCGAGTCAGCCTGAGATACACACAGTTATTTACTGTAAGGTAGATGTTTACTGAAACATGGGAAAAAAATAGATACATTCTGTATTTGTTCTTTGCAAAGGGAAATAAACAAGGTTGCAGTAAGATTATTTTAGCTTTAGCTATGAATATGTAAAATCAACTTCTCATAGAAATAGTATGGCAACTCCTGTTTAAATTGCTTAAAGCAAACTGGTATTATAGTCATAGTAAGAAAAAAAAATCCCTGTGAAATTGTCTATTTCTAGTACAAGTGCTGGTACCTAGCAGGAGGGGTTACTGTTCTCAATAGAGCATAGTTATAAGCTTCAATACTTTTCATACATTATTTAACTGGGAGTAGGACACTGCTTATCTTAAACAGGATGGATATTTCAGCATGGATATTTTTAACGTACTAATTGCTGCAGATATTAAACAAAACATAATACACGTGGAAGAGTTGAGTAAATTGCTTTTTAAAAATTCAGCATCAATGAATCTAAAGTTGACAGAAGTCTTCACGTCATTGATATTTAGGTGATGCAGCTAGGCTTTTATACAACACGTTTAATGTTTCCTGCCAAGTGTTGAACTCGTTTGTTTAAAAATGTAATGCAAATACAAAATACACACCAGAATAGTTTTTTTTTTCATGTCCATGTGCCCTCAGGCACTGGCAGCAAAAGCATCCACGCTTGCTTCACCTCACCAAGCCAATAGGAACCTGGGTGTCTTGTTCAACCCTCAACTGTCATTTCTTGTCCATAGCTGTGTCTTGACCCGCTCTGCCTTCCCCCACCTCTGCAACATTGTCCGACTCTGTCACTGCCTCACCCCTCAGGCCGCCGAAACCCTCATACAAGCATTCGTCACCTTAAGGCTCGACTACGGAAACTCCCTTCTGGTCGGCCTCCCCAACTCTTCCCTCCACAAACTGCAGATCATCCAGAACTCTGCATCTCGTGTCATTTCCTGCACCAGGCTCCGTGACCCCATGCCCGGCTCCACTGGCGCCCCATCCCCCAGAGGATAGAGTTCAAAATCCTCATCCTCACTTTCAAGGCCTTCTACGGCCTTGTCTACTTCTCTGACATGCTAACCCCCTAACAACCTCTCTGCTAAGTGGGCTCTGGCCTGCTCCAGGTCTCCCGCCTGCCCCACCCTACCATCGAAGGCCAGGCTTTCCGCCTCTTTGGAACTCCATCTCACAATCCCTTCACCTTGCTCCTTCTCTTGCCTCCTTCAAGGGATGACTCAAGATTCTCCTTGACTGTGCCTTCAACCTCCCCCCCTACCCCCTCTGCCCTCCCTCATCCTAACCCTGTCCCCCATGCTCGGGTCCTGATCCCTGACTGTTCAGCAACTTGGGACGTCCTCCTGAAGTGAAAGGCGCTTTACAAAATGCACACTACAATAGGTTTCTTGTTCTATTTTTCATGTCCATGTCCTTTCAGGCACTGGCAGCATCTGCCTCCATGCTTGCACACTCCACCTCACCAAGACAGTTAGGAACATCTCGAAGACGTGAAAAGCGCTGTATCAAATGCAAGGATTATTATATTATTAAAAATATAATTTTATTGCTATTTCTCTCTCCCTATCCAGATGTTGCTTAGTTTTACAATGTAAATATTTTTGTGTTTGACTCTGTTTCTATTCTGCTGTAAAGTGGTAAGTTGCCCTGTAATAGGGTGCTTGCTGTGTGTAATGCGAGTGTAAACGACTTACTACTACAAACCCAATAAACAGCTACTTGAAATCCTGTGGGCACTTTATACCTGTTAGTTATCTGATCTCAAGTCTCATTTACTTTCTGTTACAATGAGTGAGTACGCTTGTGTAATGTTTTTCTCTATGTCCGTTACAATTCCAAACTGATATTATTGTTCATTTTCCAAATTTTTTTTAACAGACTGATTTAAAATTTCCAGAGTTCAGTTTTGAATGACAGGTCGGCTATTTAATGGGATTTTGTCATCCAGTGAAGTATCTTGCAAGGTGCTTTTCTACCAGGTGTTTAAAAGAGGATTTGTGCGTCCTTCATGTCGATCTAATTGCATATGCTGGTAAAAATGCTAAAAATAAATTGCGTAGTACACTTTTTTCATTTGAGCTCAAATTATAGTATACTTGTATCAGGCATTATTGTCCCCTGAGTAATAAAGGGAGGGTGAGTGTGCATTATACTCATGGCAAAGCCATTAGCATTGCACACAGCCAATATTTAGACAAGTGTAACATATGTTTTTGATGGCAAACATTGGCAAGTGTACCAAAAAATGGGTAATTTTATTTGTAGCAGTCATCCAGTTGCCAATATGGCAGGGCTTTATCAATGTTTTGTGAAAATAGTATTCCAGGAATTCAGTGATCCAAAAACACTCCAATTATAGAAGTAATTCTTCTTAATAACTTTAAAAGAGAGGTTCAGTAGAGGAAGTCCATTTGCCTCATTTCATCCTTCCTGAATACCCACCTGACCATCTTCATTACAATATTGAGCTGTTCTATGAATGACCTGGCATTAACCTACCTTCCTGGTAACCCATTCCAGTTGTTAATTACCATCTGTCTTGTTTTGTTGCCATGGCATATCTGAAAGTACAGGGCTTAATATCAGTTTAAGCGAAACATGAAAAAAAAAGTGACTTATGGTTTGTCACTAATAATACTTCTATCCAGAACTTTTTCATCCAGAACTCTGCAGCCTGTGTCCTCTTCCCCACCTGGCTCCATGATCCTATCAGCACCATCCTCACCTGACTCCACCAGCTTCCAATCACACTTTGCCCCCACCCTCTGGAACACCATCCTGTAGTCCCTCCACCTCGTCCCCTCCCTTGCCTCCTTCAAGACCCATCTCAAGACCCTCCTCTTTGACCATGCCTTCGATCACCCTCCTTTTCCCCCTCCACCTTGGGTCCGAAACACTCCCCAGCTTGGGTCCGAAACACTGATTGTCCAGCAACTGGGGACGTCCTCCTGACGTGAAAAGTGCTAAACAAATGTAATTTTGTTGTTGTTCTAGCATGCATGCTGTGTGCAGGAAGCACTGCTGACATCACCTCCTGTGTATATATGCTGAGTGCATAAAGTGCTGCTAATGTTGCTTCCTGTGTAAAGCGACATCAGAGATTACCTGACTACTACTTCCAGTTCGCATGGGTTCACAGGAAACCAGTGCTATATATATATGTGTGTGTGTATATATATGTATATAAATGTATATATAATATATTTGAGCGGAGGGGATGAAGAAAGCCCATCAGCCATTCCAATTTTATCCCTCCAGAACACCCACCATTCCTATTATATGTCCTGAAATTGCCCTATATAACTCTAAACCTATGCCCTCTTGTTCTACTGCATGCATTCTAAAGTATTGATATGGGTTTCCCTTTTCAATCTCATTTAAAATTTTATGCACCTCATTGAGCTTATACTTCTCTCAAGACTGAAGAGCATTAGCTTATTTAATCATTGTTCAGAGTCATAGCTCATTCCTCTAACACTGGGGATCATCCTCGTTGCTCTTCTCTGTATTGTTTCTAGAGTCTGGGCTGCCACCTTCTGTCACGGTGACCACATTTGAAGACTAACTGCAAAATGTCACTAACTTGTAGTGAACTCAAAGATGATACCTTTGACTACAGAAACCTGGGATTAGTAGATTTGGGAGTTGGATTATGTCTGCATTGTTGTGTCTAAATAAGGTTGAGATAAAATGGCTGATTCAATTCGCTGTATGTAATTTTGGTTTTGGTTTGAACTGCAATAAAGGTAGTGAGGATAGCAGTCGAAGCTAACCTTTGAGAACATTTCCACAACTAAAATACTAAATTATTGTTGTTGGTGTGAAAGCAATAACTTTATTTCCTGTCTATAGAATACAAATTGGACATCTTTCCTAACTTAGTTATATCAAAATCAAAAAAGTGCAATACTATTAATAGATTAATAATCTTTGCATTTGATATAGGACTTTTCACGTCTTCTAGACGTCTCAAGGTGCTTTACAGAATATACTTTAAGTGAATTGACTATATATTTGTGGGCATATAATTTGTGGGTATATAATTTACATCTTCAAATAAAGCTCTGACAGTACTACAGCTAGTCTCGTACTAACTTTCTTTGGTGGTATGCTTTACAACACAGTGTCTCTGGCTATGCAATGTTGTGGCTTTTAACAAAGTTTATTCAATTACATGTATAAATCAGGAAATAAATTAGTAGTCACATGATTAATGTACACTTTTGTTCCAAGTGGTTGTGAAATCTACTTGCTAATGTCACTATGGCAGGATTCAGGCCCTTACAACTACTGATACATTTGTTGGTAATTAAAAGGTTCTGTATTCCATATATGAATAATCGAGAAGGAAATCCCATCTGGGAATTCAGATAATCTGCTCTATT